ATCAAAATAAAGATTATTTACTATTAAAATTAGAAGGATAAGTATCAGATCTTACAAAATGGTATGTATTTGTCAATAAAGGTTGAGCATCCCTGATTCAAAAATTAAAACTCGGAAACACTCCAAAGACTGCTGAATGACATCACAAGTGGAAAATTCCATTTCATGCACAAATTTATTTAAAATGTTGTGTAACATTACCTCCAGGCTCTGTGGACAAGGTACATATGAAACATGAATGTGTTTCATGTGTAGACCTGAGTCTCATCCCCAAGATATCTCCTTATGTATATGCACAAATTCCAAAATCTGAAAAAGTCCAAAATCCAAACCATTTCTGGTCCCATGCATTTTGGATAAAAGATACTCTCCCTGAATTAGAGCACTCTATCTAAGAAGGAGGGTCCCACTGTAACTTACATTTTAATTTTAGGTAATATTCACACATATTTTTCACATGTATTGTTTCATCCCTTACAAATCTAAGAGAGAAAATATTATCTCTGATGAATGAATTTCTTCATTCATTTAACATGCACCAGGCATATCCTGGGTGAATTATACTTCTGGAGTGAAATCAGGTATTGTTGTGACATTCTCAAAACTCAATGGGATGGGTGAGCAATAAAATGAAGAAGGGAGCCCAGCAGGGCAATTGGGACTGGAGGAGCCCCGAACACCTGAAGGTATGTTCTTCTGCATAAGAGACAACCATTGCTCAGCCCTGGCAAATGTGGCCTTCAAGTGGCATCCTGTACTTACCAGATTGTCTACTATTTCCAGGAAATGCTTCATTTTAAATATTGAAAATTAACTTTAAATGTTTAACGCTGCAATGGAGAAAGGAAATGAATGCTGGCTAAATGCAACACAAGAGCCAGAAAGAGGAGCAGTCAGACAATGATGCTGTGATGTGAAGTCCAGGGTGGTATGGCGAGACACCCTTGGCATAGGTTCAGGGAAACCCAGAAGACTTTTGACTGGCAGCGTAGGGCCAGGCATTGCAGACAGAATTGTTGATGTGGTAGCTGATCTGATTCGGTGCTTTGACAACCTGAAAGAGAGCCTGATCTGCTTCTCCCCAGCACGGCTCCTTAGGCTACACCTGAGACCCCCGCCCTTTGCCTGCAGACACACCTGCACAGGGGTTCGTACTTTGGAACAAGGGAGTGCAAGAGCTGTGCATGGATAGAACCTACTGGATTCTGTCCCTTATATGAAGAAGGCCAGGCAGGGTATTTAGCTGAGTGGTGCCGCCATCTGCCTCGCAAGCACAAGGTCCTGAGTTCGATCCCCAGTACAAAAAAAAAAAAAAATTAAGGAGGGCCAATTAGGACACATTCCCCTTAGTTACCATAGCCTCCACTGAGCAGGCTGTGAAGCTTTATCTGATAAGGAGCCGCTTGTGGGACACTTCAACAGGGTGTTTGCCAGCTCTGTGCTCTTGGTTCATGTCCGTTTTTTGTGCTTTCCGAATTCTGATCTCACCAACCTGCTTATCATTGCTGAATGGCATGTAGATAGCAGTTCCATGCTTCTAGAATGCAGTAAGCCAGGCAGTACTAGCTTTCTCTTTAGTACTTAGCTGGTGCCAGTTTCTCAGCATGTCTTCAGCAAAAGTAGATGCTGGATTGCTAGATGTTGTCTAATCTAGATATTTTGGCAAACTATAAAAACCCCAGTAGGTGGACCCATTGTACATAATCACATAACTTGTATGTCTCATGCTTAATAGTCCCCCCAAAAACAGAACCCTGAGACATGTAAAAGTATTTTTTTGTCTTTGGACAAGACCCTAAAATGCCCAGAATTTAAAAGCAATTTCAACAAATAACCTTTTTATTGCCTTATTTTCATTTTAAATATTGTTACTTAAACATGAGTTATTTCATTAAATTTTTCTTCTTTTTATGAATGCCAAAAAAATTCGTAATTTCATTTTATTCCAGAAAATTCAAGGTCATACACGTAACATTCCAGCAGCTAAATTGTTTACTTCTGAAGTGCTCCTCGCTCAGGCTGTATTAAAAGGTGTTTGGAAGACGGACCGGCACCTCTGTCATGCTGTAGGCTCCTCAGAGCCACCGTGGCAGTAACCTCCCCAGTCTTTCGCTCCTCCTCTCGGGAACTTGGTAGTTGTTTGCTTACAGTTGGTTGAATAAGTCGAGGAATTGTAAACTCTGTAACTTTGTTGGGTACTGATTATCAGTTCTACCTCTTGATCATGGCTGAATAAATGTCTCATATTTGTCTGTCAACTACAGTCCTTTTTTTTTAATACCAGGGATTGAACTCGGGTCCTTGTGTCTGCAAGGCAGGCAGCAGAACCACTGAGCCAAATCTAAATCCCCAGCTGTCAAGTACAGTCTTCGCGGATGCTCACACCTATTGGGTCATTTGATTCTCAATAGTAATATTGTAACAGGAAGGAATGCGTCGCTAACAGTTACAGAGCTGCCACCCTGCCTGATGCTCATGTGAGGAGACTGGGATTACAGGCTGAGTAGTTTGTCTGGGCTTACACACAGATCAGTGATATTCTCCGTGACAATAGCAGGACAAACATCGGCTGCCATCCCTGATGAAGATTTATTTATTTTTTTCCAGTACTGAGGATCGAACTCAGGACCTTGTGCTTGTGAGGCAGGCGTTGGGCCACTGAGTTAAATCCCTGGCCCTGAAGATTTATTCTTATTTGGGCACTGGGATAGTTAATTCTAACTATGAGATAGGTTCTATTTTTATCGCTTTATAAAAGCATAGTCTGAATGTGACACTGCTAAGAGATGCTTCCTGTTTGTCTGTCTTCCTCAGAAGTTAGTGTGGTCCCAGGAGAGCGTTCTGTCCAAACTAGTCACACCTTTGCAGTTTTTACTGACTCTACCAGTCCCTTTTTCTCTTATTTGGTATAAATGGGTTGGTATCACAGGTTGAAAATCTCTAATCCAAAATCTAAAATGCTCCAAAATGTGAACTTTTTAGTATCAATATGATGCCACAAGTGGAAAATTCCACAGCATGAGACTTTCTTTCATGTACAAAATTATTTCAAAATGCTGTATAAAATTACCTTCGGGCAATAAGGCATACGTGGAACATAAGTGAATTTTGTGTTTAGATTTGGGTCCCATTCTAAATATATTTCATTATATAGAGAGAGATATTCCCAAATCCAAGAAAATCTGAAATCTGAAGCCATTCTGATTTCAGTCATTTCAAATAAGTGATATTTAACCTGGATATTCCTTTCTCCATTAGATACAAATTGTGCATTTTTAACTTTTTAGAAATGAACACAGTTTTCAAAATTGAGGACCATGTCAAGAAAGAGATACCCTGGAGCGTGTGTTTCAGGAAATGCGTTTTGTCTTTCCACTCACCCCCAACCCTTTGTCTACACAAGGAGTACGTTGGACAGTTTCTGGATGACTGAGATATGCTGGCGGAAAAAGTCTGAATTTACTCAAAATGGGCCATTCATTCAACAAGCGATGGCCTGCTGTCCTGCTGGTGGGACCTGCAGAGGCAGCCAAAGTGACCCCTCTGGTCAGGGGCCTTCAGGACCATCTGCCTGTGACAGTCACCTCTGGCTTTGCCCTGGCTCCCTGCTCCCCTGGCCAGCTACTGCAGCAGACTGCCCAGCTCGGCTCCTTTGCCTGCTGCTATTATTGTTTTTCTTGGGCCCTTTGGCCCACTGTTCTTGTTCTCTACTTTGATTTCTTTCTAAGTAGTCAGCTGATCTAGCTGTTTGGAGCCTGTGTTAATTTTGGAAGATTCTACTTTAAAGGAAACCAAACTGTTGTTCCTGATAGATGGAGCCATTTTTTAAAAATCTCCTTGCTTGACCTTGTGTGTTTCTATAAAAATAGCCAGATTTGTTTTTACCTTTTAGACCATTCTTGGTGACAATCAAGGAACTGGGTTTATCTTTAATTATGATGGGTCAGTGCCTCCAATTGTGTCCCTTGTAACACTTAGATGTTTTAAATGAACAATTACTTTTCCAGCAATGCATACTTTTCATTGTGCTGCTTTGGAATAGAATTCACACAGGCCAAATCTTAGCTGTCTGCTTCTTGGTGGAGATGAAGGTCCCCAAATGCAAGCGTAGTACTTTTTGTTTGGTTGGTTGGTTGGTTTTGTACTGAGGATTGAACCCAGGGCCTTCACACTGAACTTCTTCCCCAGCCCATCTTTATTTTTAATTTTTTTTCATTTTGAGACAAGGTCTTGCTAAATTGCTAAATTGCCCAGTCTAGGCTGGAACTTGGGATCCTCCTGCCTCAGCCTCCCAGAGTGCTGGGATCACAGATGTGCACCACCCTGCCTGGGTACAAGCATGGTGTTTGTCTACAGCAGACCACATTGGGTGGCAGAGTGTATATGGCACAGTAAATGTAGGCACAGTGACCCTGGGGCCATCCTGCCTGGGTTTGAATAGAGCTCTGCTTCTTACCAGCAGGGTGACCTTGGCAGGTTATTCCGCCTCTCACAGCCTCAGTTTCCTCATCTCTAAAATGGAGAGAATGATAGTATTGACATTTTAGAGTACTTGTGAGGCTTAGCATGCTAAAAACAGTACTTGATTCAGGGTTCTTAGGAAGTGTTTTTTTTTAAAATTTCTGCTATTATCCTGTTGGCAGTGCTTAATGAAAGATTTATAAGTCACTGCTTGAATGGGATTCCCTTCTGGGTGAAGTGGATTGGATACTGAGGACTTGGGTAGAAAATAAAGGCAGGTATAACCTGAGAATTCAGAACTAGTAGGAGTTTTGCTTGTAATGTGTAGGTAACCTAAGCATCAATTCTCATTGCCTAAGGTCTAAAAGAGTTATGTGTTATATGCCTGTTGTATCTTTTTATACAGTGGTTCCTTTAAACATGAATAATATTTAGTTCCTAATGTGGCCAGCAAATGGCAGACATTAGATAGGAAATACCGCACAAAATTACTAAAGGTTTTAGATTTAACTATGTCTTCCTTCTTTTCTCTGATTTAGAACCCTACGGGAATATATTTGATAAGTGCAATGGCTTTCAAAGCACTACAAGAACAAGAGAAAACATTTTTCACCATTGTCCTTTTACTAGGCTATCTGGTAAGTAAACTCTTTCATTTCATAAGAATGTGGTGAAAGTTTGATCCTGTATTATTTTTCATTCCAAGTTGCATTTAATAATTTTTGTGTTTAATAAGCTAAGCTGCTAAGCTGTGGTATTTTTAACAAGTGTTGAAATCACTTTATTTGAATCTAGATGAAGTCATAAAATTTCCTTGTTACTTATACCATTAAGATAATGATATTATCTTGGATTTATAGGCACATATCTCTCATAACACATCTAGACTCTAACATGACCATAGGTTCTAATTTGGAGCCTCTTCAAGTTTAATAAAGAATTTAGAATAGATGTTTAAGAGTTATTAGTTTGATAGCTATTTATATCCATCTTGGTTTCCAAAAATATTAAAGGCAGATGGAGAGTATTAATGTTTGAAAGTATGACCAAAGATCTATGAAAGTGTCCAAAAGAATTGAAGTTTATTTAATCTAGAGATATAAGAAAGACCTACATTTATAGAGAATTATTTACACTAAAGACTGTGCCTAAACCCTTGGAAGCCAAGGTAAGAGGAAATGGGGTTATATTGGAGTCTGAGATCCAGGTATATACAGTATAAGGAAAACTTCCATTCGGTTAATTAAAGTTGTTAAACATTGAATAGATGACCTAAAGAGGAGGTTGTGGAATTTCTTATCAAACAGATAACAGTCTCTTTGTGGTAGAAGGGAAACTCATATCCTCAATAAAATCAAACTCCTCCGAATCAGGGCCCGCTAATAGAGACAGAAAGAGAATATTAGACTTTTAGCCCCAAAGAATTCTCTAGTCCCAATCCGCATCTTGAATTCTCCCTCCCATTTGCCCTAGGGGTTCAGGCTTTAACTGTATTTAAGGATGTTTGTAGATATCATTACACATATTCCTGCTTCAAGGTGGAAGTAATTTCTTGTTGCTTGTTACTATGAGCATCAAAAATAATTTCCCTTGTGCAGTGTACAAGAGGCATTACACACAGCAGACTGTCCCTACAGGATCTCCAGTTTTCTCAGCTTTCATTCAGGAGAACAGTTATGATCGGTAATGTCACCAAGGGCATTTAAAGTAAGAGTTTGAACTGAATGTCTTCTTCACCAAATCTGGCATGCCCTTAATATCATCATTTTAAATGAAATATCATCCATTAAGAAGCAGGTAGGGCCGGGGATTTGACTCAGTGGTTTCACCTCCTGCTGCGCAAGCACAAGGACCTGAGTTCGATCCCCAGTACCAAAAAAAAAAAAAAGAAAAAAAGAAGCAGGTAAACACATTTTCGAAGGATAATAGTGATAAGGCAATCTTGTTTTTAGTTAAAATAAGAGAATAAAACTTATTTTGGAAAATGACTTAACAAACTTTGTTTTTGCCAAAGTATAATTTTTCTAAGTTCTACACTGTGAGCCAAAGTGTATTGATTGCTAGGTCCAGGAAATAGCCAGGTGGTCATTAGTTAGGGTGTAAGTTCACATTTACATAGCACTTTTGCTTGGAAGAGTTTTGCAGTCTTTGGCCGTGATTGTCATCCTCACCACTGTCACTACTGCTGTCACCACCACCACTGCCATCATCAAAAGTTTCATTGATATCGTGATTATCAAATAATATTTTTTGAAAGATAACCTCTAAATGGAAAAGGTTGAAAATCTCCGTCAAAACCATTTAAATCTTTATGTCTAAAGGGTAATTGCAAATTCTTGTAGCTATATGAAGCTATTATATCAATTTAGTTATTCAGTTTATTACATTTGAATATGTTTATATTTCTTCAAGATCAAAAAAGGTTTTGTGTTTTGTTTTCTTTTGTTAATTCAGAATTTTTCAGGTAGCAAAGGGACCTTGGATTTCTGCAGGACTGTTCTTTCGTAAATCATCTTAGAAAAGGTAACAGCAACAAGGTCACTTTTGCCCTGAGTATGCAGAAGAGTCTCAGAGGAAGATGGTATTTAACTTCAGGAAAAAGGGAGACTCTGGTTATGGAATGGATGAGCAGTCTCTGAATACAGAGAAGAATTAGGCTTTATTGATTTGTTTGGTCCACTGATTCATTGAGAAAGTGGTTTTTCTTCCAGAAATGAAAATGTCATCAACCTAATTCTGAATTCATATTTACATCAGTGATTATGTGACAAACACTGAAGATATGATGCCTTTCTTGCAAACAATAAAGTGAAAGTACTTGAAGATAATAGTTGGTGAACCTTTTTTTTTTCCAGTCATGTAAAGTGATTTGTGAGACCGGAGACTGCAGACAACAAGAATTCAAAGATGGGGCTGGGAATTGCATTCTCTGCAAACCATGCGGGCCAGGCATGGAGTTGTCTAAGGTACGCATTTGGTGCATGGTGAATTGTATATCTGTGTTTGTAAAATGCATTCTTTTTAGCTAAGTTCTTGTAGTTAATTATTAATGAAGCTTTGGATACCATGATGGGAATTCTTGGCTCATTATGTCACTTTAGCCAAACATTATCCAATTCCCCTTTCAGTACTTCTGATTCATGGGCTTTAAGGAGATAACTAGGTTCTCAAAACCAGAATTCAACAAATGTCATTAGTTTATATAATTTAAGGTTTGTATTATTTTATATTTTATTGAAAGCATAGAATCTTTAAGTTTAATTTGGATTAAAAACTTAAAATATTGATAATGGAAATGGTTAATGCTATCATTTACTGAGCCATCTTTCTTAAAAAAAATGAATATTACCCTTGCTAGTAAATAAATATAGTATATTTAGGATTCTCAGTAAAGTTGCTTCAAGGTAGAGCTTCTTTTTCAAATTAGGATTTTGAAATTCCTTTGGTAACATGAGTATTATTAATCTCAGCCCTTTGAGGATGTGTTACTCTCAGGAGTGCTTTAAGTTTAACTGTTGTTTATTAAGAAATAGTGAGTTATAACATAGCTTCTTTCACAGACGTGCTATACATCTATTTGCCCTATTTTATGATCTTTTAAAGATCTTACTATTTGTGGAGAACTGATGTAATATTTTGTTCTAAATAAAGCATCAAAGCCATCCTGTTAGAAAATGGACAATTCATTGTTCTTTTTATTTAAATTGACTTTTAAAAGAGAAGTCTTTTTTCCCCTACAGATTACTATTATTTAAGTTTGAGACGTGTCATTCATAGATTTTTTTTTTAATCAATGATCTACAAACAGCAGGAAACAAAGAATAATGCATTCCACAAGTAGACCCTGGAGGGTGGCTTTTCTCCCTGGTTGTCATGTAAAATAGTGGCACCTTCAGGGTCCTGGGCTTTACTTTTGCTTGAAACTGACTGACCTTAGAGCTGTGTGTGACAGCTAGTTAATTATAGTATCTCAACAGATATTTTCCAATCCCTCTTGATTATAGTAACATGCATTTTCAGACATAGGTTTCACCACGTTGAGTGAAAAAAGATTAATTTGTAGCAGATCTACTTATCTAGCATCAGTACAAAAGACGTTTAAAATGCCTTTGGACCCAAGAAGAAAACATATGATGAAGTTCTGTCTTTCAAAAGTCCTTCTCTACCAAAATCTCTGTGAAAGTCTAAATGAAACTTTATAAATTCTGAGAGACGAGTAAATTATTTCTAAAAAATTATTCTCTTTCCTTTATCTTTTCAATCTAGAGAATATAACCTTAAAATAGTTTCTGGAGAATCAAACCTGAAGATAAAGGTCCAGTCAGCTCTCATTTCTTTAATGAAAAAAAAATTGTTTTCCAGTTTTGGGTCCACATGTAAAGAGCTTGTAAAAAAGCTGAATAAACTAAACAGTCATCAACTTCTTAGATCTGTAAGAGAAGCAGGGTCACAGGAAATACTAGTGTTCCCAAGTGTGCAGACACAGAGAATCACACTTCAGCTGAAATCTCCTTGGGCACCCACACTGTGCAGGAACATAGGACCTGGCGTTGACAAATCTCCGCAGCCTGGGGATGGAAATATCCGAAAGTCTGCAACTCTAGAGAACCTGAGCATAGAGTGGTTGCCACACCTTTGTTTCATCTTTAGAGGATTAAACAGATTCTTGAAGTAAATATCAGAGAAAAACCACTCCATCGAAGGATATTAAACCACATCCATAGCCCAAGGATATTAAGAGGATAATGGAATACTATGAACAACTCCGTGCCACCAGATTGATAACCTAGGTAAAATGGACCAATTTCACGAAAGAAACCTACACAAGAAAAAAATATACAATTTTTATAGACCCATCTCTATCAAAGTAATTGAAACAATAATTAACAACTTTCCAAAACGAGAGCAATAGGCCAAGATGAGTTTATTGGTGAATTCTACCAGTTAAGAATAAATTATATCAGTTCTTCAGAATTTCTTCCAGAATATGGAAGCAGAGAAAACTCTAACTCATTCAGTGAATATTAGGCCAGCATCACCCTAATAGCAAAGACAAAAACATTATAAGAAAACTACAGAGCAATATCTCTCATGATCATAGAGACAAAAAGCTTCAGTAAAATATTAGCAAATTGAAGGCAGCTCCGTGTGTGTGTGTGTGTGTGTGTGTGTGTGTGTGTGTACTGTGACCATGTGGGATTTATCCTGGTTATGTTAGGCTGGTTCAACATTTGAAAATTAGTTTAATCCATCACATCATACACTAAAGAATAAAAATCACGATCATATCAATATCTGCAGAAGAGGCATTTTAAACAATTTAATGTGCATTCATAATAAACTATCATAAATTAGGGATTCAGGGGAACTTCCTCAATTTGATAAAAAATATCTATCAAAAAAACTATAATTATCAAAAAAAAAACTATAGTTAACAACACACTTAATGGTGAGAAACTAGAATTTTTCTCATTAAGATCAGGAATATTCTTTTTCAGCATCGTACTAGTCATCCTAGTTAATGCACTAAGACAAGAAAAAGAAGTAAAAGGTACTCTCATTATAAGGGAAGAATAAAAGTTCTATTTTTGCATATGATCTCATCATCCATGTAGAAAATCAAGAAGAAATGACAAAAAAACCTCCTGAAACTAATAAACAATTACAGTAATATTGTAGGATTTAGGTTAATATACAAAGTCATTCCTTGTGCGGGAATGAACAAGTAGAACTTACAATTAAAAAGTACCATTTATAAAAATGCAATAGTTAAGTATACATCTAATAAAATATATACAATATCTATAGGAGGAAAATCACAAAGCCCTGATGAAAACAAAAATCAAAGAATAACTAAATAAATGGAGACATTACATATTCATGGACAGGAAGATTGGAGATGTCAGTTCTTTTCTACTTGATCCATCTTGATCTACTAATGTATCAGGGTTCAGCACAATCTCAGTCAAAATCTCAGAAATTTATTTTACAGATATTGATAAACTGACTCTGAAGTTTATGTTAAGAGGCAAAAAACCCCCAAAAACAAAAAAACTCAGAATAGCCAATATAGTCGTGTAGGAGAAGGAAAAATTAGAGAATTAACTCTTTCTGATGTCAAGACTTAACATAAAGTGACAATAATCAAGACAGTATATTAGCAAGAGAGTAGACAAATAGACTGATGGAACAGCACAAAGAAATAGACCTACATAAATACAGTCAGTTTGACAAAGGTGCAAACACAACATAATAGGGAAAAGATAGTCTTTCCAACAAATAGTATGGAAACTGGACAGCCACGTACAAACAAATGAATCTAGATAAAAAAACTTACACTCTTCACAAAAACTGATTCAAAATGGATCACAGACCTAGTGTAAAAAGCAGCAATACTGTAAAACTGCTAGAAGATAACATAAGAAGAAATCTAGGTGAGCTTGGATTTCACTCCTGACTTTTTAGTTATGACACCAAAGGCACAATCTATGAAAGAAAAAACTAATGACCAGGTCTTCACTAAAATTAAAAATTTGGGTTATTAGAAAAGACACTGTCAAGAAATGAAAAGCAAATCACAGACTGGAGAAAAATATGCACAAAGATACCCAGCAAAACACTATTATCTAAAATACAAAAAACAGCTGTTAAAACTCAACAATAACAACCCAATTAAAAAAAAAATGTATCAAAGCTCTTAACAGATGCCTCATGAAGAAGTCATATAAGCATATAAAAAAGAAGCTACAGTAGCATATCTCATCAGTGAAGTACAAATTAAGAAAACAATGAGATAGCACTGCATACCTTCCAGGACAGCTGGAATCCAGAGCACCGGGCTGCGGAGATGTGGAGCAGTAGGAACTCCTGGGCACTGCTGGTGGGATGCAAAATAGGACAGCCACTTTGGAGGACAGTTGATGGCTTCTCACGAAACTGAACATACCTTACTATTCAGTCCAGCAATTGTGGATTTGAAAACTTATGTCTACACAAATTTCTATATATGGATATTTATAGCAGCTTAATTCATAAATACCAAGCCTTTAAAGCAACTCAGACGTCACTCAGCATGTATATAGATAAACAAATACATCCAGATAATGGATTGTCTTCAGCACTAAAAAAGAAATGCACAGAATTATCAAGCCAAGAAAAGATACAGTAGCCTTAATATTAAATGTATGGTACTAACTGACATCTGAAAGGCCTGCATATGACATTCTGGAACAGGCAAAACAATGAAGGCAGTAAAAAGATCAATGTTTGTCAGATATAAGAGGGAAGATGAGGGATGGAATAGGAAAAGCACGGGATGTTTAGGGCAATGAAAACACCACATGAGTTATAATGGTGGCTACATGTCGGTGTACATTTGTTCAAACCCATAAAGTATACAGCACCAAGATTACGCAGGTGGGGAATACAGGAACTCTCTCTGTCCCTTCCTCTCAGTTTTGCTGTGAATCTAAAATTGCTTTTAAAAATATAAAGTCTCGGACATGTGGCATGTGCCTGTAATCCCAGCTTCTCAGAATGCTGAGGCAGGAAGATTGCGAGTTAGAGGCCAACCTGGCCACTGTAGCAAAAACCCCCGTCTCAAAAACAAAATAACAAAAAATGAAATCTATGTAAAATGGAAAAAAAAATCCATCATCTGAGAACATTATTTGATAAAAATTCCTGTATTTCATAGCCCCGAGGATATCCAGAAGATATCCCTATGCAGCTGCTTTTCCTCCCATGCAGCCGCTTTTCTGAGTATTGAAGTAGCTAACCAGCCCGACTGCACTGGGGACAAGCGAGGGGAGCATCTCGCAGTTCCGCTGTTGCGCCTGCGCGGCACAGAGCTACCCTGTGTTGGCACCTGCTCTGTGGGTTCCGCCTGGAGCAGGCCACCATGTCACCCGTCGCTACTGTCAGAGTGCCTGGCTTCTGAGAGACACAAAGGACATTTCCGCAAGGA